GCTGGAGTTAGAGCAATCCAGGCAGAGAAAACAACAAGTGCAAAGGTCCTGAGGCAGGAAAGGGTATGGTATATTCAGGAAAGAGATGATCAGGGCTAAAGCCAGAACACTGTGGGACAAAGTTGAAGAGGTGGATCACAGAGAGTCTTGTACATCACAGGAGTTTTAACTTTATTCTGGTGTACCAGGAAGCCAGGATGCATTCAAGCAGGGGAGTGATGTGATCTAACTGGTAAGTTTACAAGTTGCTCTGGCTGATTCCAGAAATGTGAAGACCATACTGGGGAGGAGGCAAGAGTGACCAGAAGGAGACCAGTAAGGAGGTCACTGAGGTGGTCCAGGTGGGCTGTGCTGGGGGGTTTGGACTTGGATGTTAGGGTCAAGGTGGAGGGTGGAGAGACATGTGAGATGCATTCTGGCAGTGGAAGTAAGCTTTGCTGATGGTAAGGAAAGAGGGCAGGGAGCACTAAAAAAAGAGTCCTAAGTGTTTTGCTTGACTGACTGGTTGTTTATGTCCCATTTAAACAGATGGGAAAGTCTGGAGGACAAGAAGATTTGGGAGGAATCTAAATGAGTTTGTAGAAAACTGTACACTTCTGTATAACGTTTATCATTCTTTTGAGATCCATTCTCCCCCTGGCTCCAAGAACTTGGAGCTTCAAGTGCTGAGACCCGGCTGGCCCAGGTTCTGCCTTGGGATCAGCCACTTCCTGCCCTGAGATGTCAGGGAGATTTCCCCCATCTCTGAACAAAATAAATAGAGTAAATGCTCCTTTCTTAAATTCCTACAGCTTTCTTCAAGGCTGAAAAACAATGCCCAAAGAGCTATTTCAGCTCCTGGGAGGCAGGCAAACTATTCATTTTCTTTCTTTCGCTATCTCCTTAATGAACTAATAACAGTTGTGTACACAGGGGATATTTATCTTATTCCAAGACTCTGTCTTTGAAAAAAAAAATATTTGGGGACAGTATCTGACATGGTACCATTTATCTGACCATACAGGTCACTAATTCCTCCCCAACAATCATAATTGGCTCAGGAATACTGCCATTCACTCTCATGAAGAATGACGCTCTTAAAGCCTGAAACCTATCTACTTGGCAGTTTCACAAAATGGTCCTTGGTCTGGTAAATTACTGTTTTAAACAAATGCCTCAGTCCCAAACCTCCTTTGCCTATGCCCCAGTCAAAAGTCAGAGACCCGGTACCATTTAAGACTTTGCTATTTCCAGCCATGTGTTTCTGGAGAGCCTACATGGTGGGTTCTGTATGAGCTGCCCAGGAGCCACTTCTGGAATGAAGGGCTTACTGCCCCAGCCGCCGTGGGGGCTGCCCCTGCTAAGAACTGCCTCGGGAAGAAAGGTGAGGTTGTGCTCCCTTCCCAAAGCCACCCATGTCCAAGGACAAACTGACATTGAAGTATTAAAGGCCTCCAACTTGGAGCAACTCTGAAAACCCATTTCAGCTGCAGAAGTCCCCAGTGTCAGACAAGGCTATTGCTGGGACTGCCTCACAGCCCAACTTATTCTCAATCCTGCTTGTTTTCTCTCTTCCCAAAAGCCCTCCCTGACAAATCACCTTTACACAAATCTTCATCACCAAAGCCTGCTTCCCAGGGAACCCCACTGCCCCATGTGCCCAGTGTGCACTGAGTGGGGCAGGCCCCCAGTGGAGATGTGTTTGGACCCAGAGCCCCTTCCCGAGGCTGTGGACCAGGCAGGGAGAGGGACCTGCCTCCAGCACTCTCTCCACGGCTCCCTGCGTGACGTCAGCCCTCCCACAAGGCCTCCTCTCCAGACCTGCCTTCTGTAGAAGACAAGTTCCTCCTCCTCGGGCCACACCCAGGGCTCATGGCCTCACTGTCCTCCTGCTCTTCTGCTCACTTCTGATCTGTCCTCTTAATTGGTGGCCTACATCCTTGCCTTCCCTTTTACAAAGTCCACTGAGATCACAGTGAACTGTAAGGGCTATTAACTGGTTTGATAATCCTGTCCTGTCAACCCAGACAGGCTGCAAACACTCAATGGCAGAGACTTAAGTATCTTCCATGCCTAGCACAGCACAGGGCACAAGATAGCAAGTGTTGGCTGCTGTCACCGGGGGTGATGAGTAGCAAATGAACTGATGGCATGTGCTAATGCCAAGCGCCAAATGAAGAAGAGAGACAAAAGTATCATGGACATGTGGAAAAGAGGGAGAGAAGAAACTCCAAGGATATCATAAGAACAATTTTAAAACTAACTCACCCAGGACAATGGAGATTTCATTTCTGGGAAAAATTTTGCTCCTGGTAGCATTTATACCCTGAACTATTAAGAGCTTAGTTCTCCAGTTCATCGCAACACCTGTATCTTTAGCACACATCTTAGAACTTAAGCACACTTCCTGTTTTTGTCCTCTGGTTGTTTGCTGTTTAGGTCTCCTTTCTTCACGGAGACAAGGACCTGAAGGTCAGACATCTCCTGTCTTTTGTCTGCATGTCTGCAATGCAGTGTGGTGAGGAAGAGAATAAGATTGGGAGTCAGAGGATTTGAATCTCAGCTTTATTGCTTACTAACCAGAAAATTTGGCCTTTCTTAGCCTTTCCAAGCCTTGGTTCTCTCATCTGGAAAACTGGGATAAGAGGACCTTTTTCATAAGGTGGATATGATTAAATGACTGAATTTAAATGATAAAATGAGAAAGACACAGCACAGTGCCCAGCAATGTAGCAAATACTCAATAAAATTCAATACAATTTTTCCTGTTGAATAGCTTTTGAGGGTCCTGTTTCCTAGCAAGACAAATAGCAATGAGGCTCCTTAGATCAAAAGAAACAAAAATAAGATGAAGTAATTATTAGGTTCATAGTTACCCAAGTACATGGATAATCTTTCCAAAGATGGAAGGGAAAATAGAGATGGTTTGATAGGGGCTGGGCTATGGGTGGATTATTCTTCTTTCTATAAATTACGTTAATGTTATTATCATGTTCTTTGTGCTATAATTTTTTAAATAAGTAAGGATATACAAGGATCTTCACCTCTAACTGTGTAACCTAACTTCCCTCCCCAGGTGGAAACAAGTAGAGAGTAAATGTTGACTAAGTCAGTATGATCTAGTGAATGCACCGTATTTCAGATCATGAATGTACACATTCAACATGCAGAATTCATGACAGAAAATTTCTAAGGAGAGGACCTAAGATTCTGCCCCTTATTAAATATATTCCTCAGGTAATTATATGTTCCCCAAAGTTTGCAAGATTCTAGAAAGAATGCTGGATTTGGAATCAGAAGATCCAAATTCTAGACTCAGGTATGCTCCTGTCTGTCAGCAAGCCAGAGGTCCTCTGGGGTCCCACTTTGCTTTTCTACTATAATGCTTCCAACTTGATGACCGTTGAGGCCCCTCCTGAAAGGAGAAGGGGCCAGTCACATTCCCCACTGGAAATGCATGCCAAGGGAGGAAAGTTGGCCAGAGGGCCTGGATTCCTAAGGATAACTAAATAATCTCTGGGACAAATAAATATTCAGCAACTGATCAGGCCTCAGCAAAACTGCAATGCATGACTACTGTTGCCAACCCAAATAAAGAGGTTGCATGGTCTGCATGTCCTCGGGAGAGCCAATACCCTCGTTCTGTCCCACAGCTGGCAACTACAAAGCACAGTCCAGCGTCCCAACTCATGTCAAGCCCCTGTGGCCAGCCTGGGGTTGTGCCTCCTCTCTCACCAACACTGTGAAAGGACCAAGGAAGGGAAGGGAGAGAAACATCAATCTGGCTTAGAGTTCTCAGCTTTAGTAAAAGGGTGAGGTGCTTAGAACTAATGCCGCAAGAGTATGAGTGTGTTCACTGCACTGGGGAAGGAAGGATTACTGAAAAGACACAGGAAGACAGGAGCAGCCATCAATGATAACAGATTTGCTTATCTCAATGGGTGAGTCAAGGATTCCAGGTCTAGTTTAATGCAAACTCCTGAATTTTGATGAGGCAGATCAAATGTTGGGTAAATATCATGACTCACAGAAAAACAAATCATGGCACACCATTTCATTTTTCTTGCATTAGTAACAGACACCATAACTGCAGATTAATTGGTATGTAATATAGGATCTTGTACACTTTAGCTGGGAATCTCTGGCTGGGTCATGTTAATCTAGGTTTATACAAATTTGAATCTTCACAAAAGATCCTCAAATAGTTCTTTCTTTTTGCAGTGTGGTGTCCTAATTATAATGATACATTCTGCACCTCTCAGTTTACATTCACCTTCTTGCTTAAGTAACATGTAATGACTTTAGCCCACTTGGGTCATAGAAAGACATGCTATACAAAGGTAGTTATCCAAACCAAGAACCTGAGTTTAGGAGGGGTCAAATGTCCAACACACTGACTTTCAGATGGCATTTTGCAGGGCATAGGCTTTGCAATTCCCTGAAGGTATGGAAGAGTCTTATTTATCCTGATCCATCCCTTCAGCCACCTGTCCCACATAGGGCTCACTCCATTATGATGATGAGGTGCTTATCAAAGGAGCAAATGCTTTCTCATCAGGCTTATAGGTGGTGCCTATTTGCTGCTTGTGGGCTCTAACACCTCCGAAGATAGAAACAGACTTTAAAAGTACCTCGATATATTTTAGAGATAATTCAAAACCACAAGAATCCTCAAAGCGGAGGGAAATGTAGTAGGGGTAAATAAAGATGCAGCACTTACTCTCAGTTTTATTATAAAGATCTGAAATATAGGAATGACCATTGGAAAAGTCCTGAGGGTCTTAGAGGATCCCAGATTAATATCTGAATTATTATGGCATAATTATTTTTAAAAGCCATTTTGATACAGAAACATACGAAGAGAAATAGAGCTTAAGAGCCTGTATATTCCTCTTATTTTTCCTAACATTGATCAAGCCATTATTCGTGGTATCTTGTATAGCTTTCAGTGAAATGGGGAGGAATGGAAAAAGAACAATGTGAGAAGGTGCAGAGTATGATAACTAGTTTGGTTTACTCACTTTATCAAGCTTATTTTCATCAAAACCAAGGAAGCCAGAGGGCAGGCGAGGGGCAACCACGGCATATGAGGGATGATGCGAGCACTGAACACATTAAGGCTGGAGATGGAGGTGGTCTGGCTTCAAATATTCAAAGGACTACCTGCAGAAGAGGGATCAAATTTAAATGGGGTTGATCCAGAGGGTAAAAAGAACTGCCAGGTATATATACATATATACATATGAGATACATATATATATATCAGAAAAGCAAGTTTCAGGGCAAATGAAGTTTTTGAGTAGGCTGGCATACTTCTCCAAAGGAATGGCTGACTCCTAATAAAGCTGTGAGCTTCCTGTCATGGGACACGGTTGAGAAGAAGTGACAATCTGCCAAGGATGATACAAAAACAACAATGGCATTGGAGCAACTGGGAGCATCACTTCCAGGCTAAAATTTTATAAACAAGAGTTACAGAGCTAGAAAGCAAGATGGAT